TACCAATTTCACATCTACAAAAGTTTTTTTTTTTAAATCACAAAATACTTAGTAGTCAGTGTTCAAATTTCCCTAATTATCCTGAGTTTGAAATTTTGTCCAAATCTGAATCCAAATTCCACATGTATCTGTTAATTCTCTCTAAATCTATAACAATTTCTTCTACATTTATTTTGTTTATTGATATTTGTTTACTGAGGAAACAAGATATTTTTTTACAGAATTATCCACATTTTTTATTTTGCTGATGCATCCCTATGTTGTATTGTTCACCATGTCTCTTCTGCTTTTTTTTTTTTTTAATGGAGTGGTAGTCAAACCTAGGGACCACATCAGCTTTTAAATTTCTATGTATCCAGCAGGTTTGGTGTCAACTGTCTTTGATGAGCTAATTATTACTGCTCATCTGAATTTTTTTAGTCACCAGATATTGGTGCTATCATTCTCACGTATACTCTCATTCTCTGTGGGTTTATACCTCTTTAAAAACCTCTTTAATATACCTTCAGAAAGGTGTGGAAACAAATACTTACATCCAATTGCCATGCTTCTCTATTCTCCTTCAACTCAATAATCTGCATTTTTGCTTTCTCTTTATCATAGCTGCTCTCTAAAGTTACCAATAACCTCCACTTTAGCAATTCCCACTGATAATGTGTTTTCATTAACACACTATTTGACAAAGAGTTTTAATCCCTTTGTATTATGGGACCAGTTTATCCTGGTTCTTCCTCTATTTCTGTATTCTTTCCTTTATAAAGTTCTTCCTCATTCTTTTCTTCTGTCTGTCTCTTAAGAAATAGATTTTTTGTCCTGTCTTTATATGTTTTTATAAAGACCTTTCAGTTTTTTACACAACTTAAGACTATCCAAATGTGAACTCATCATTCTCTTTCAGACACATACGTAAGCTTTATATAAGTTCTTTATGCATAATTTTATTTCCAGCCCTCATGAGAAAATGGCATAAAGTATATAATAAATGTTGTAAAATAATTTAATCCATAAATAACATAACTTTAAAGGGAAGTTATATTTTCTTAGTTCTCTAACTAGATATTTTTCATTCCCTTTGGTGGATTTTCTTTCTCTGCCACAAGGTAAATGTTGTTCCCCACGTTTTGTTCTGGGTCTTCTACTTGTCTCATTCTAAATTCCTTTTCTGTTGCTTCTTAAACAGCCATAACTGTGGCTTTCTTTTAATACTGGTGCCTTCTTACATTTGGATTTCTAGTTCCAAATTTTCCATAAAGCTCCAGTTCACATTTTCAAATTTCCTGCTGTGTACCATCAGGTCTCACTCTTGCCCCTAAAACTTAACACTTTCTGTGCCTGACACTATGGTCCCCATCATCCTTGACAATCTATACTTTATCTTTCACTTAGTATCCTGGATTAATAGCCACCAGCTTGTCTGGGATAGGCTCCCTATTATCTCCCCATCAGTGAATCAGTTGCCAAGTCCTGTATCATACAGGCCAGAGTTTCGAATCCAGTTGCCTTTTTATGTTAATATTGCTATGATCTGGCCAATGTCCCTATTTTCCCTTGCCTCATTGCAACGCTTTCCTAACTGATCTAATGACTATCCCTTCTTATTTCTGTCCATCTCATACATTGCCCAGATGAATATTATCTCTGTAAAAATCAAACTTAACTGCATATCTCCCTTAAATAAAATATGTTTTGCTCCCAATGCCTATACACAGAAGGACCTGACAACCTATCTTTCTTTTTTTTTTTTTTTTTTTTGAGACGGAGTTTCGCTCTTGTTACCCAGGCTGGAGTGCAATGGCTGATCTCCGCTCACCGCAACCTCCGCCTCCTGGGTTCAGGCAATTCTCTTGCCTCAGCCTCCTGAGTAGCTGGGATTACAGGCACGCACCACCATGCCCAGCTAATTTTTTGTATTTTTAGTAGAGACGGGGTTTCACCATGTTGACCAGGATGGTCTCGATCTCTTGACCTCGTGATCCATCCGCCTCACCCTCCCAAAGTGCTGGGATTACAGGCTTGAGCCACTGCACCGAGCCCCCTATCTTTCTATACTTAGCCTACAATCTGTCTCCTTCACCCTTAGCTCTGTCCCTTTCCCTTTCTAGTGGGTTATGGAGGGCTCTCTATTACCAAGCCGGTGGAATTATTTTGTCCATTATTACCTCTCTGTATAATCTTTAAGAGAAATACATATTTCTCTCTATTTAGAATGGCCATCTGTTTCTTCTTCACCCGAAGAATGATTCAATACAACTTTCAAAGGAATATTCAGAGAATTTTCTAATGTAGAAACAGGTATTAGTCTATTATCATTTCAAAAAACATCTTCCTTTATTTAAGCATGTTATTCTCTTCTGCAGAAAAGCCTCTGGTGTTTATTGGGGAGATTGGTGGGAAGAAGGGGACAGTGCTGAACCACACCCAATCTAACAAATCAACCCTGATAATTAGTAGAGTGGCAGATGGGGAGCCCAGCGATGCTCACACCTTTGTGAGAACCAGCTCAATTCCCATCTCTGACCTGACACTTTCTTGCTGGTAGTTAGTCACTTTCTGTACTTCTCATGCACTCTGTTCATAGTTTCATTCAAGTACGGGTTATATAGCTTTCTAGTCATTTGTTGACACATCTACTAAAATGTGAATTTCTTAAGGGCAAGTCCATTTTATCTTTATATTTCTGCATATATAGTTTATTCTAAGCTCATTTATTTTGAATGAATACATTTGGAGATGGGACAACAAAGTATGAGAGATACGTTTAAAACCTATAAATGCAAAACCTTGAATGAGAAACTTGTTCTTGATAGCTTTTAAGTTTTTGGATGATATATTTCTAGAGCGTAGACAGTACCTGCCAAGGCATAAATTTTTTAATAAAGGGCTCCCTTTTAAAAGAGATCTTTAAAATATCACAGTTTCTTCGGTCTGTGCATTGAGATTTCAGTTAATCTGTAACAGAACTTCTTATTTAGGACCCTTTTAAATGGCCTGGGGTACAGAGACCAGCTCTTTATGGTCCCTTTTGTGACATGAGCAAGGCCACAGCTCCTGTGATTTCTGGTATGTCAAATTGCTAACTGAGAAACAGAAGGGGGACTTTGTCTAAGAACCCCAGCATCTACTTGGAAGCAAATAGACAGTACGTTCCCCTTCTCTCATTACAGATAAAAATGTTATTTTATTTAAAATTCTTGCAGGTGCTGTGTAATTAACATTTTAATCCATAGTCGCTTTATAAATGGTATTGTGTTGGCCCATATGCTTGCTAGTTTCTACCTTCTAAAATATATAACCAAGAACTTGAGCAGTCTCAGGAATAGGTTTTATTTTTTAAATGTTAGTGTTAGGCAGATTTACTTGACCTTCAACCAGTATTGGTAGTAGGCAAGTTTAATGAGATTCACGGAATAACATCACCTTTGGGAAGCAGAAAATCTAAGCTTGAGTAACCTGAGTTGCTAGGGGAAAAGAATACGTTTAACTTTGACAACCCTAGTAGTGCTGTAAATCCAAATATCCAGCAAGAGATTTGTTTTGGGTAATACTAACTACACATGTGTATGCGAACTAAAAAAGTTATAATTTGGAGCCTATGAGTGGCACCACATTAGAAACTGTGTAGGTATATGGACCTCGTATTATCAGGTAGAAAAATTTCTGAAGGGCTGTACAGGCTTTTGCTTCAACAATGACAGCAATGTTACTTACACCAGCCTCCAGATTTTTCTACTCCTGATGTCAGGAGAAAGTTGATTTACCTTTAGAATGAGATAACCTCTGGGATCTCTGAACAGTTAAAGGGCAGACGGAAATAAGCCTGGGTGAGAACTAATGAGATTCCCGCTAATAAGTCAAGATGAATTTGCATGATTGATTAAAGAATTATTAATTAAAGAATAAAGAGATGACATATTTGTTCTCTGCTTCTGTGGCTCATAATAGTTACACAAAACAGTTTGTAGAAGTTTTTTTGCATGCTTCATGAAAGTCCAATGTTGTGACATCACTAGGTGAGATCATGCAGTTATGAGTACTTAATAAGGTGAAAATATTATACAAATAAAAGAAACTTTATAATATATTATTAGCGTGAATTTAAAATTTGCATAAGAACACCTATGAAACGATAACAGTAGCAATTACTCTTGTGAAACTATTCTAAATAATTTGAAAGAAGTAACTTATCAACAATATTTTTCTAATCCTTTCCCACAAGGCAATGAAGATGGACAAGGAACATATCCCAGTACATCTATTATAAGCTATGTATCCCAGACTGTGATACAGGTGTGCTTAAATCGGAACTGCAAGTGACTTGTACTTAGAGGCAAAATACATTCCAGCTGGGGCAAAAAGGCAAGAGTTTTGCCGTCCTTTATGACCTGTTTAATCCTGTTGCTTTACATTCATTATGGATGTCTCTGGATGGTGCCAAAATAGGTGAAAAGTGGAAGATTAAATCACATTCAGCCAACCATTTGTTTTGCTCATACTGTGCCAAAAATAAATATGCCATTAAAATTTTTTCGCCAAGTTTACTGATTTTTTTCCCCATAATAGTCTTTATTATTTCCTTTCTTTTTCTCATTTTTAATTGATTTGGCTGTCTTATCTAGTTTCTGTTGGTTTGTTGAGAAAGAGTCTCACTCTTGTCTCCCAGGCTGGAGTGCAAATACCGATCCCAGCTCACTGCAACCTCTGCCTCCTGGGTTCAAGCGATTCTCCCACCTCAGCCTCCTGAATAGCTGAGATTACAGGTGCCCACCACTACGCTCAGCTGATTTTTGTCCTTTTAATAAAGATGGGGTTTCGCCATGTTGGCTGGCCTCGAACTCCTAACCAATGGTGATCCGCCTGCCTAGACCTCCCAAAGTGCTGGGATTATAGGTATGAGCCACTGCGTCCAGCCTGCCTTACCTAGTTTCTTAAGGTAGAGGTTTAAGTTTATTTATCTGAGATCTTCTTTTCTAATGTAGGTGTTTACAACCATAGATTAACCTTTTAGCACTAGTTTTGTTGCATTCTATCTATTTTGTTGTGTTTTACTTTTCATTCAACTCAGGTATTTTCTAATTTGCTTTGTGATTTCTTTGACCCATTAGAGATGTAGAAACACTTGAGAAAGCTCTATGATGTACTCCACCTACAATGGAGAGGTGTTTAACAGGTGAGTTTGAGTGAATTCAAATAATGAGATTGATAGTTCTCCCTATAGTACTGGCAGTGTGAGCTGATACACTGAGGACTACTGCTGAGCTGGGGAGTTGGAGATGGGATGAGTGTAAGTTAAAACACCACAAATCTCACTAGTCTTACTGATAGTAATTCATTTTTTTGACTAAATATGACCCAGGTTGCTGCAAAGCCTTGACTAGCTTTCAAAGTTTTGAAAAGTTGATACTTATCTTCTTTTTTTTTTTCCAGGGATTTTTGTTGCTGATTTTATGGAGGGACCGGCTTTCAGAAGTCTTTAATTCACCATTTTCATTGATGTCACCCTGTTACCAGAAAGATGTCTCAATTCTGACCCCAAGAGATGGTCCATGGATCTCATGCAAGGAAGATTTCAGGGTAAGTCCATAAAGTGAAAGCAAGTTTATTAAGAAAGTAAAGGAATAAAAGAATGGCTACTCCTTAGGCACAGAAGCCCCAAGGGCTGCAGGTTGGCTATTTTCATGGTTATTTCTTGATTATATGCTAAACAAACCAAAATGAATTATTCATGAGTTTTCTGGGAAAGGGTTGGGGAATTCCTGGAACTGAGGATTCCTCCCCTTTTTAGACCATATAGGGTAACTTCTTGATGTTGTGACGGCATTTGTAACCTGTCATGGTGCTGGTGGGGGTGTCTTTTAGCATACTAATGCATTATAATTAGAGTATAATGAGCAGTGAGGATGACCAGAGGTCACTTTCATCACCATCTTGGTTTTGGTGGGATTTGGCCATTTTCTTTATCTCCTCCTGTTCCATCAGCAAGGTCTTTGTGACCTGTATCTTGTGCTGACCTCCTGTCTTATCCTGTGACTTAGAATGCCTAACCCTTTGGGAAGGCAGCCCAGTAGTTCGCATTGTTTTACTGAGCACCTATTCAAGATGGAGTAGATCTGGTTCAAACGCCACTGACATAAATAAATATGCCATTAAAATTTTTTCACCATTTACTGATTTTTTCCACCATAATAGTCTTTATTATTTCCTTTCTTTTTTCCATTTTTAATTGATTTGGCTGTCTTATTTAGTTTCTATTGGTTTTTTGAGAAAGAGTCTCACTCTTGTCTCCCAGGCTGGAGTGCAAATACTGATCCCAGCTCACTGCAACCCCTGCCTCCTGGGTTCAAGTGATTCTCCCACCTCAGCCTCCTGAATAGCTGAGATTACAGGTGCCCACCACCACGCCCAGCTGATTTTTGTCCTTTTAATAAAGGTGGGGTTTCGCCACGTTGACTGGCTGGTCTTGAACTCCTAAACCCTGGTGATCCACCTGCCTAGACCTCCCAAAGTGCTGGGATTATAGGCATGAGCCACTGTGCCCAGCCTGCCTTACCTAGTTTCTTAAGTAGAGGTTTAGGTTTATTTATCTGAGATCTTCTTTTCTAATGTAGGTGTTTATAACTGTAGATTAACCTTTTAGCACTAGTTTTGTTGCATTCTATCTATTTTGTTGTGTTTTACTTTTCATTCAACTCAGGTATTTTCTAATTTGCTTTGTGATTTCTTTGAAAATTCCAACTATTTTTAAGAAAATGTTCAGACATATAAAAGGAGACAGGTAGACATATAAAAGGAAATTCCAATAACTTGGTCTCCAAATTAAAATAAGTATGTCTTTATTGAACACTCATGTGATTGAAAATGTGCTAGGGGCTTTTAATGTATTATCTGATTTAATTATTTTAACACCTAAAAGAAGTTGGGTACCATTAGTCACTCCCATTTTACAGATGAGAAATCTGAGATAGAGATAATGAATTACCTGGCTTAGATGTCAATGTTAGGTTAGTATAATGTTAGGTTAACTTTTAAAAACTCAAGTTAGGGAGAACTAAAAGTCTTCAGAGAGTGTAAATAACTCCTCGTTCTTGTTGTTGCTGAGGGCATTCTTACATCATATGAACAATTGGTTTAGAGGATGTCTTTTTTATTAATTTTTTAAATTGTACTTTAGGTTCTGGGGTACATGTGCAGAACATGCAGGATTGTTGCATAGGTACACACATGGCAATGTCGTTTGCTGTCTCCATCCCCCAATCATCTACATCTGGCATTTCTCCCCATGTTATCCCTCCTCAACTTCCCCACCCCCCAACTGTCCCTCCCTTACCCCTCCCAAAAGACCCCAGTGTGTGATGCTCCCCTCCCTGTGTCCATGTGTTCTCATTGTTCAACACCTACCTATGAGTGAGAACATGCAGTGTTTGATTTTCTGTTCTTGTGTCAGTTTGCTGAGAATAATGGTTTCCAGATTCATCTATGTCCATACAAAGGACACAAACTCATCATTTTTTATGGATACATAGTATTCCATGGTGTATATGTGCTACATTTTCCTTGTTCAGTCTATAATTGCTGGGCATTTGGGTTGGTTCCTGGTCTTTGCTATTGTAAACAGTGCCGCAATGAACATACGTGTGCATGTGTATTTATAGTAGAATGAATTATAATCCTTTGGAAATATACCCAGTAATAAGATTACTGGGTCAAATGGAATTTCTATTTCTAGGTCCTTGAGGAAGTGCCACACTGTCTTCCACAATGGTTGAACTAATTTACACTCCCACCAATAGTGTAAAAGTGTTCCTATTTCTCCATATCCTCTCCAGCATGTTGTCTCCAGATTTTTTAATGATCGCCATTCTAACTGGCGTTAGGTGGTATCTCAATGTGGTTTTGATTTGCATTTCTCTAATAATCAGTGATGATGAGCATTTTTTCATATGTTTGTTGGCTTCATACATATCTTTTTTTGAAAAGTGTCTGTTCATATCCTTCTCCCCCTTTTGGATGGGTTCATTTTTTTTCTTGAAAATCTGTTTTAGTTCTTTGTAGATTCTGGATATTAGCCCTTTGTCAGATGGGTAGATTGCAAAAATTTTTTTCCATTCTGTTGGTTGCCAGTTCACTCTAATGATTGTTTCTTTTGCTGTACAGAAGCCCTTAAGTTCAATTAGATCCCATTTGTCTATTTTGGCTTTTGTTGCCAATGCTTTTGTTGTTTTGGTCATGAAGTCCTTGCCTATGCCTATGTCCTGAATGGTTTTGCCTAGGTTTTCTTCTAGGGTTTTTATGGTGTTAGGTCCCATGTTTAAGTCTTTAATCCATCTGGAGTTAATTTTAGTGTAAGGTGTCAGGAAGGGGTCCGGTTTCTGCTTTCTGCACACTGCTAGCCAGTTTTCCCAACACCATTTATTAAACAGAGAATCCTTTCCCTATTGCTTGTTTTGGTCAGGTTTGTCAAAGATCAGATGGTTGCAGATGTGTGGCATTGCCTCTGATGCCTCTGTTCTGTTCCATTGGTCTATATCTCTGTTTTGGTACAAGTACCATGCTGTTTTGATTACTGTAGCCTTGTAGTATAGTTTGAAATCAGGTAGCATTATGCCTCTGGCTTTGTTCTTTTTGCTTAGGATTGTCTTGGCTATGCAGGCTCTCTTTTGGTTTCATATGAAGTTTCAGGTGGTTTTTTTCCAGTTCTGTGATGAAGGTCATTGGTAGCTTGATGGGGATAGCATTGAATCTAATAGAGGATGTCTTGAACATTTACTGTGCTCTAGTACTCTGCAAAACTTTCCTATAATGTCATGTTAGACAAAACAACTTTATGAGATACTTCTGTTATTTTCATTTTTAAATGGGAAAAAAATGGTACTTGAAAAGTTTAAGTAATTATCTAAAATCAGTCCCATCGGTAAAATTTAATGCAGGGCATTGTTGACCAAAAAGTCTCATTATCTTTATCACTAATCATTGGATTTAGTGATGCCATTGGAAGCCACAAAAATATGTCAGACTATTCTTTCAATATAGTAACTCATTACTTTCCTGGAAACAGTTGAGGAAAATGAATGTATAAAAATTTTAGTCTTTATATTGCTATTAACTATCATTCATCACCTGCTGCATACAATATTCTTGCCATGTATTATCTTTAATTCTCATATCAACCGAGAAAGGTGGGTATTCTGATTCCCTTTTCATATGAGATAAAACCAGAGGTCAGAGAATGTAAGTATTTTCTAATGTCACAGAGTTAGTGAATGAGCTCAAAATCAATTGCAGGCTTATCTGATATCAGAGCTCAAGCTTTTCCCATTGTGCACCGATGCTTAGTCCTTTTGTAGACAAAGTACTTGAAAGATATTGTAGGTGATAAAAAGACATTAATGGCACACAATGGCAAAGCATTATACTCCTGCTAAGACTTAATTGAATGGCCATCCAACTTTTTGAGAGCAATTGCTGTTTTGGAAGCCCAACATGGAAAATTTCAAACTTAACATAAAAGAAAAGTTATATTCCACTAAGAATATAACTTCTCACACACCAGGAAGTTCTCAGATATAGTCAAAAATGTACTAGTTAATTCTTTTCTCTTAGAACCTGAAGAAAAGCAGCAATAAAAGGAGACATTTCTTTCATGGACCTGCCATTACTATGCCAATCTCAGAAATGAAACTGGTTCTTATTAGTGTTTTGTTATCATGGGTCACCCCTAGCATTGTGAGAGGTTTCTGGGGCATAGAGAGCAGAAAATTCAATCACAGACCCAAGAAGTTTACATTATGCTTCTGCATACATAAAGTTATGTAGTATTTCTGTAAAATCGTAACATAGTCTGGATCAGAGTAAAGGAAAATCTGGTGTTCTTTGTTTGCTTTTTTCAATGATTCATAGCCCATGACTTTAAATCTAAGATATATCCATGTAACAAAATAGAGAGATGAGAAACTAACTCTTATATCCATGATAATTCAGTGTCTTACAACAGTAATAGTTATCACTTGATGACTAATTATTGTGTTTAAGACATTATCCTAGTTTAACCTGTACTATCATGTTTAATCCTTAAAATTGTCCACTTATGAAGGTATCAGCATTACTTACCTTCACTTTTAGAATTAAAAAATTAAAAACAGAAGGAGTTAAGCAACACATATCAGATCATACATGAGTTGGATATTAGGGATGGGGTTTGAACCCAAGAATTTTATCACCCAAGTCCCCTTTGGACTACTGCATTACCTAACCTGGCATACAAAGCCAATGAAGTAAAATATGTACTATTTAGTTAAATGATGATGATTCAAGTACCAGTGGTATAACTCCAATATGACTAATGACATGATTAAAACAAGTTACAAAATAGGGATATATTTGGAAAAGTATTTGAAGTCTATGGGATAGAAAAGAGTTGATATCTTTTACATCTAAGAGGTATTTAAAATAAATAAAATGATAGACACACATTAAAATAGACAAAGGTAAAAAATAAAGGAAGAATGCTTAGTGGCCAGTTAGTTCAAAAAATAGGTTTAGACTGGTAATTAAACAACTGCAACTCAAAATCTCAA